CCAAATGAGAACATAGAAAGTGGTACTGCCTTGGTTTACCACAAGTGCATTTCTTGGAGGACAACCACTTGTATCCTTGACTCTCGGACCTCGCTGTCGGACATTGTACCGCCCCTATGCTCGACCTGATAAGTCCCTGTGGTGTGGTCAAAGCATGTAACCTCATGTATGCCAGCCCTTTCTCTTGCCTTCTCTAGGTGTGCCTTTGCTTTCAGAGCCCATATCTCTCCATCACTCCGCAACTGCAATGCATGGGCGTGTCTATCGTTGAACCAGGCAACAAGCTTATAAAAGGTGAATTGAACGATTGCATTCACGGGCATACCACGTATCCCCAATAGCAACTTATTGAATGACTCCGCCATGTTGCTACACTGAAACTCGTACCTCCATCCACCGGCGTCGTGAGCTCTCGTCCATTTCTCCAAATCCCTCATCAAACCTGTGAGCCATTGTCTATCTTCTGCATTTGATGCGGTTCTGACATGCTCCAACTTTTCCTGAAAGTACTTGTCCTCAAGCTGTCGAGCAGACTCCTAGAACAGATCAAAGTTACCCTTCACAGCATCCTTCCGGAGTAGATTCTCGGCAAGGTGCCGAGTACACCAACGATGGTGCAAAGGTGCATACCCCTCTATCTGCTCTCGCACGGCACGGCATTAAGTATGCCCTAGTGCCTATCAGATATGACGCCAACCTCCCTGTCAGGCCCAACCACGTGTATCCGGACTAGCCTCAAGAACCATCCCCAACTGTCATTGTTCTCCTTCTCAACCAAAGCAAATTTCAAAGGAACCAACTTGTTGTTCGCGTCACAGGATATGGCTATAAGAAGTGTGCCCTGATATTTGCCAATCAAGAACGTACCATCAATGAAGAAGACGGGACGACAGTGCCTAAAGGCCTCGACACATTGAGGGAAGCACCAGAAAGCACGGAAGAATATATGCCTCTCATCCTTCCATGCATTTGGTTTTGGGATGTACTCATAATGCATGCCTGGATTCACCACTTTGATTGCATTGAAAAGAAATGGCAGCTTCTCATACCCATCCTCCCAGTCCCCATATATCATCTTCCACGCTCGCTGCTTAGCCCTCCATGCTTTACCATAAGTTATCACATAACCTCCATACAACGCCTCAACGGTCCGGATAATTGTCCTCACCTTCATGTTGGGTTCTCCCTACAAAATTCACATCAACCGCTTGGCAATGAGGGTAGATGTCAACTGCCGATGCCTCAGTGTCAGCTCATGGTCAACACAATTGTGTGGCCCAACAACTTTTGTGATCTTCCATTTTTTGATTACCTGTTGCTTCCTTGCACAAACCCTCCATGGGCAACGTTCCTTGTCACACACAACTGTGTAACGGTGCTCCGCATATGAATGCAATACCTTGTAAGATCTCTTTCGTATCACTGTAAAAGCCTGCAACCACCTCTTCAAAGCAGGGAGGTCATTGAACACCCTCCCATTCTCAATTACCATGTTAGGACCGGCCTTAGGAGCTTCTAGGAGCTCATCATCACGTCCTTCTGCAAACGCCTGATCGGAATGAGCAAGATCGTTGAACTCGTGAACTCTAGGATCACGGCGGCCAGGAAAGATATGCCTCATCATCTCTTCGTCAGCTCTCCAACAGGGCGATCATCATTAGAATCAAGAGCTTTAGCCATCTCATATGGCTCCGAATCATGCATAATTTCAACACTATTGGAGACACAGAATCCATCTCCAAAGTGCACTTGCGTAGCAACAGGGAGCACATCCACATTCTCAGGAATGTCTCCTGCAACATAAGTAGAGAAATGAGGAAAGAATGAAAGAAATAGATGTAAGGAACGGGGTAAACTCCCAAAAACCATGTGGTTAAGACACTTACTCGAATGATTTTGTGTTAAAGGGATCTCATAAGGAGGATCTACCACGGAAACATGAGTCTGACAACCATCTTCAACTACCGCATTGGGGGCAGATTGAGCATCGAGAACCGTAGGTGCAATCTCCACATGCAGATAAGGTTCCAGAACAGGAGGGTCGATGTGTGTCTGCTGATCCATTGCTGGGGTAAACCCATGAGGGATGGGATCAACTAACACCCGACGCACAACCACGTCCAAACATTGCAGCTGGCTCTTCATATCCGATCTCATATAGTTCTCCCACTGATCCGCACAACCAATTGAGACCATTCGCCTAAAGATGTTGGGAGGAGAACCTAGGTGTTGTACACCATCAACTGCAATGCCATCATCTCCAAGGCAATGCAGCTCCTCCCGAGCCCTTGCAACAATCTCACTAAATGAAGGCCTATCATTGAATAGCACAGGCACGCTTTGCATGTCAACAAACTCAACATATCCATAGCGATCGCTTTCAACGGTGCCTCCATGATATATGGTCACTAGGTTGTCCATCTAGTTCAAACACGTAACAAAACACATGTCCTTTAGTCCAAATTAAACGATAGATAGTACCTAACAAGTACTTTCTAACTACAAACTAAGTAAATAAGATAATAACTACGTGTATATATACAATGTACTCACTAAATAGCTAGATCATATTTAGTTAACTAAATATGTAACTACATATCTAAGTAGCTATCTAACTATATCTATGTACCTATGCATATATGTTTCTATCTATTTACATATATATCTCACTAGATTACTAACTAAATCAACTACCTGAGTCATCACATTAACTAGTAAATAATAAATGCCAACTAAGTAGGTACATTGCATATTCATAATTTTTACCTTTACAACGACTGATCCGCGGACGTCGACGAAGTCGCAGCGGACGATGGGCGTGGGTTAGGCCGACGATCCGGGCTGGCGGTGGCACGGCCGGCCGCTGTAGGTGGCCGGGTCGGCGGTGGTGTGGCCGACGACAGCGGTGGCGCGCGGCGGGCGCGGGATGCCCGGGGCTCCGCGCGGCGAGTCTAGCTCGACGGGAGTAGGAGGCACGGCGGCCACGGCCGAGGCCGGCGGTGGAGGGCGGCAAGGCGGGGCGACGAGAGGGCGTGGCGCGGGCACAGGAACCGGTGAGGGGTCCGGGGCGCGGGCGGAGGGGCGCTGGCCGCGGCGCGGCGGCGGTGACGCGGGCAACGGCGCGACGCTTGGGGGGGGGCGCAACCGCGAGGCGCGGTGCTCCTGCACGCCGAGGCGTGGCGGTCGTGGGGCGCGGGCTGTCTGCGGTGGCGCGGCGCTCCTGCACGTAGAGGCGCGACGGCCGCGGGGCGCGGGCCGTCTGCGGTGGCGCTCGGCGGGCTCGGGGCGCGGGCGCGGGAGCATGAGCGGTGGCGCTGCCGCGGGCGAGGGCGGCCGGTGGAGGCGCGGGCACGGGCGGCGGCGGCGACGGTTAAGCTCGGCTCTGCTCTGCTAGGGCGAGAGAGGGAGAGGAAGAGAGGCGCGGGGCCCATAGGTAATAAAGGCTCGACGCCAGTCACTCTGGCGCCGAGCTCGACGCTAGAGTGACTGGCGCCGAGCTCCCTGCCATGTCACCTACCGAGCCCAAGAGCTCGCCGCCAGGGACGCTGGCACCGAGACGTGTTAGCTCGGCACCAGCATCAATGGCGCCGAGCTAAGGGTCTATTTTCTAAAATCTTTCCTCCAGGGGTCTATTTGTGAGAAACTTTCAAAAAAGGGCTAAAATGTAAAAATTTCGGACGCCAAGTTCTCGCAAACTGTCGCGATCCAAGGAACTTTTGTTGTGGATTTGTGGAGGCGCTGGCGCGTCGCCCCCTTTCTTATGGAGGATGAGGACGGAAGAATGGAGGGAGCACGGAGCTGGGCAGGAGGCAGACTGCTCTCTCTCTCTCTCTCTGAAATAGATTTCTAGAATTTTCTTAAGTCAAAATTTTAAACTTTGACCGAATTTCTAAAAAAACCCATCAAGATTTATGACATTAAATTAGTATCATCATATGTATGCCTAGAATAAATTTTTCATAATGTGCTTATTTTTGTGTCATAAATGTTGTTACTCTTTCCTATTCACTCCGTCCTAGAAAAAAGTGATGTTCTGTGATTTAAATTTTGTTTTAGAAAAAATGATATTCTGACCTACAGATCCGACACCAAATTACCAATTGAGACGCACTACTGTTTGTTCTCTGCCTTCGATCAATGCATGCTTGCATGCAGCGCGTCTTAGTTAGGAAGTACACCACGCGGCATCCCTTCTTTTAAGGGAATCATGTGTGATATACTAAGGGTAGGGACATTTCTCTCCTCCACTAATCTGTATGTCACCCGAGTGACGGATCACTTGATTTTTTCCCCTCCCGATGAATCACTGTTCATCTTCCTCCTCCCGACGCTTCGCCGCCGCCCAGAGCTCACTGCCCTGCCGCGCCGTGGTAGGGTCTGGTCAGAGCTCCGCGGCCGTGGTGCTCTCACGAGACCCTACTGCGCCCGCGGCGTCCTCCTCCTTCCCCTGCCCCCTCTTGCCACCGCCATGGCCATGGGCACCCCCGCCCCGCCCTGGCCCGGCCGCCTCCACCGTTGGAACCCAAACGTTGTCCTGTCGCCGTCCCCACCGCCTAACTGCCCTGCCTCCCCGAGGCCCTTCCCCGAGGCCCTTCCAAGGTCGCCGCATTCTAGAAGCAGACCACGCGGGGTGTCCTTGGATTGGGTAGAAAAAATCGAGTGAGGGAAATGTTTAAATCACACGAGTGAGCTTTAGATTTTTTCAAACTTAAGATACTTTGACTTAAACGGAATCTAGAAATTGATTTATATGGGGGACGGAGGGAGTACATGCCTACATGCCACTTGGTAGAACCGACGGGATAAAAAAACGATGCCTTTCATTGACAGAACTTTTTTTTAGATTGACAGAACCTAATTATTAATACATGGCACTCGGTAGAACCGACGGGTTAAAATAAAAAAACCGTTTCCTGCCATTGACCCCATCGCTTTCATTCTTACAGATGCAACCATTCAAAAATGAAAAATGTTGCTTGTATTACAGAAACATAAATGAATCAGGCCTTCTTCCCCTGCGCCGTCAGCTGGTAAAAGAGGGTTCCATCGTACACGGCCCTCACGGTGTCCTTGGGCAGGCGCCCGTCCTTATCCTTGGCGACCTTGTACAGCATCTCCCACTCTGACTTGGCTGCCAACCTGTGATTTGTGCAAGGCGCAAGGCCAAGAATTATCAGAGACGGTGTCAATGCCAACCCAGGGGGACTGCATGCATTAATGCATATCCCAATTTTTGAATAATAAAAAATCAGGCTAGGATTTATTACCATCCTGCGAAGTCATTCTTCTCTTGATTGTCCTTGAGCATCTCGTCGAGCTCGTCTTTTGTCAGGGCATTTGGTACGGTCTTGGCGTGCTTGGAGAATATCTCATCGAACTTCGCGGGAACAAACCTGTAAATAAAAGTCATCATTCTAGAAATGTTAGAAATTCAACTAAATCGCACACTGCAATGACCAACTACTATTTGCATTGTAACCAGTCGATCGAGGGCATATGCACGTGCCTTCCTTGAGCGTCGTAGGCGCCCGTGTCGCTTCCATGTTTACCCTTTTGGATGTTCTCTATGTAGATATCCATGCGCGAGGAGTTGGCATTGTCCTGCATGAACGCATTTGAATAGAGTCAACATCTCTATCTAGCAATAAACTGGCAATCAACGTAGTGTGTTTCAATGAGGCGTGCGTGAGCGAGGTACGGTACAGGTCTGGTCTTGGGGCCGAGGGCGCCGTTGATGAGAGCGGCGCTGGCTTTGGCCGTGACTTCGCCAACTCCGACGTCCCGCAGACCTGCATGCATGCCAGTCACACCACCACCATCCAAACACGCGCGTCAGCAGTCAGCACACACCAAACCAAACACAGCCTGATTGGTTTCCCAAAATTAGCAGGTTTTCGATCGCAACGAACGGCGTGGCGCAAACGACAAACGAGCGGAATGCGGCAGGCACTGCACGTAGCTAGCCTCACGCCGTCACGCGGGATCACCGGGCAGGCGCGCGCTCACCTTGGTATGTCTCGTCGAAGGTGATGATGCCGTCGTGGTCGCGGTCGAAGAACGCCACGTGCTTCTGCAGCTCCGTCATGCCGGCAGCGCCTGGGGCTGGGGAGCCGACGGCTCCGTCCGCCGCAGCCGCCGCGTGGTGATGACCCCCTTCTCGATCGGAATCGACAAACAAACGCAACAACGATGAGCAAACGTTTGCGCGAATCCATCAAACAAACGAAGCTAACGCATAACATGCCTCCCGGCCGTAGCGCATACGTACCGAAGGACACCGCCAGGAGCAGCAGGAGAGGCGCGGCGGCCGCCCACGAGCACGACGACGGCCGTTGTCGTCGGACGTCCATGCCACCGGCCTCCGGCTCAGCGTTGTCTCGCGCGCTGACCGCTGGTTTGCCCCTCCCAGTCTCGGCGTCTCCTGATGCCGCGTTCTCCTCGGAGGTGTGTTGAGGCGTAGGAGCCAGGAGGTGTGCGCGCCTCAGTTATTTATAAGGACGGCCTTCCGCACCGGGCCAAATAAGGTTAGCTGGATAAGTTTTATTTGGCCTTTATTAAATATGAGTGTGAGTGTCGTATCATATCGTATCCTCGTAGCAACATGCAAGAATGCAAGATATCCCTGTCACTTATTACTAGCATCTCATTGCTGGATTGGCTGGCATATGCCAATGCATGGGTGGGTTGGCAAAATTAGTTTCTTCCGTGTAAACATGCCTGGCGGAAACCATCCACCACGGATCGGATTTGCACAGATATTGGGTGCCGTACCGTAACTGCTGCTAGCTAGAGTTGGTTGAGAAGATCAACCAACCACTCCTGGGAAAGAGAAGCAACACCAGCTGTTGCCGAGGAACAGCAGGGGCCCAGGAGGTGCCGCTGCTTTCCACGGTTGCCGAGATGGGCTTGTCGATCCAGTTCTCATTCGTGTGCCGCTGCTTTCCACGGTTTGGTGACCGTTTCTTACGTCTCAGCAAATGCAAAGCGGATGCCGCAAACATTTCGTGTGCAAGCGGGCACTGTTCGCGTGCGGCCTGGATATGCAGCAAGAAAACTCACCTCTGTATCGCGTTTTACACCAGCCGCGTACAATCGCCCAGGTATGTGCGTATATAACTGAAAAACAGCTTTTATTTTCTGGTGTTTCACTGGTGATGAAGTTGTTTCTCGCGGAGTTGACACGGCATCACCTCAAGGTTACGTAGAAATGGAAACTGAAGCCGGTCAAAAGGACTGCAAAGAGGGCCGAATTGCATCAGCACACGGAGCCCGTGCCGATTTCGGTTCTCGCACGAGAAGAGGCCGGCCAGCCCGTTCGAACTCCTACAGGCCACAGCCCGCGAGAAAAAAACACATGGGGAAGTCCTCCAGGCCGCCAGGCGCCCAGCCCCGACCCCCTACTTGGTAGGGCCGTAGGCAGCGATCTGGCCCAGACTCGAGAGGCTTCCTCCAGCCGGACCCGGGCCCATCGTTATTGCCCGTAAACCAACCACGCCGCCGCCGTAGCCGAGGACGCTTCCTAGGTTCCCTTCCTCTCTTTCCCTTCGCCTTCACCTCCTCCCCCTCCTCTGCCTCAGCCTCGACCTCAACCGCCGCACCATCTTCGACTTGTATAGGTGCGTTCCTACGATTCCCTGATTGATTTATATTTGGCAATCGATTCTTTTTCGAATTCGAATTGCTGTCGCCCTCGATTAAGATTTGGGTACTTGTTGGGTTGGGTTGAGTTGCAGTATGACAATTGGGCCTGATTGATTTCTATTTGACAATCGATTGTGTCGGGTTCTAAACCCGGGGTACCCAATGGACCTGCTTCCCTACAAAAACTAGGCCCAGCAGGCGATGCAACGACAGCACACGCCTGGGCCGGCCTAGATACACAATAATAGGTCAAGACCACGATTCAGTCCCTGACCAACACCTCCAACTAGGGCCTCCCCGAACGGGCCACGATCCGTCACAGGAAAGAGGGATACGGAGCTAAAAACGCTCGTACGACCCGTCTAGGCCTAGGAGTTCGAAGGTTGGCCCACCGATAGGTTCGACAACCGCTCTGGACACCTTTAGAGTGAGGGGTAGAAAGGGCCGACCTCTGGGTCGCGGGCTCTGCCTCGCTGACCTCTGGGTTGTGGGCTCCATCTCTCCCCACCTTTGGGTCGCGGGCTCCGCCTCGCCCGCCCCCCTTTTTTCGACCGATGATACGCCGGACCTCTGCTTGCTGCTCTTTCCCGACTGACACGATCGGGGCCAATTGGGAGCAACTGACCGGGGACGCCCGCTCGGTGTGGGCCTAGGGCGCAGGCGGAGCAGATAAGATAAGGCGCTCAAGTCCACAATACCAAGGACCGTACCTTGCAATACCCTACGCACCTGCAGGACGGTGCCACCAGGCTATGACAAACGGACACTCTACAACCTTCCAGACGTGTCAGAGCATAAACAGTGTTGTGGGCGCCGTCGATTGCCGTACTAGACAAACACGGTAGAGCCTGCCAGACGCATCTGGGCATAAACAGTATTGTGGGCGCTGGCAGCCATCTCGTACCCGACAACGTGGACAACAAGACTAGGTAGCACACGCACGCACTCTCTCTCTTTCTTTGACTTGTAAGACCATCCGCTTCACCTATAAAAGGGGATGCGCTCTCTCCCAACAGGAGGACGCTAGACAACTCGAGGACTCGACGACCTGAGGACTCGAACAGCTCAACAGCTCTAGAACTCGACTGCTACACATGAGCATACGCTCCAATACTTAGTGCACGTTAGAGCACTCATCACACTCTTCCATTCGGATTAGAGTCAGACCGGGCCTCTAACACCCCCTTCTCATTCCTTACTCGTTTATAACCCCACAGCAAACTTCGAGCACCTGGGCTCAGGAATAAAGTCACCGACCGACTAAAACTAGACGTAGGGCACGTTGCCTCAACCATCATAAATCATGTGTCATCGCATGATAGGCCACATCCGATCACAACGCACAGCAAAACTATAAATATTTACTTGTCGGTCATATTTCGCACCAACAGTTGGCGTCGTCCATGAGGAAGACGTCGTGCATTCACGCTTTTGGTCATCGGATGTCCCACATTTCCACCATCTTCGGCATGGCGGGCTCAAGCGATACGATTCGCTTCAGCTCGCTGGAGTTTCCCACGCTCCCACCTGTTGGGATGTGGGTTCCTCCCGTCTTCGAGCCGCTTCAGACTTTTCTCTACGGAAGCCTGGACTTTGTCGCCGACCAGCTCGACGTACTCCGCCTCCGCGAGGAGGCGCTCGTCCCAGCGTCCACTGGAGGAGCGCCCTCCACCGGCCTCGGGCCACTCGACGACCTCAACGTCGAGACACTTGCGCTTCGTCTTGAGCCCATGCTGGGCTCAAACCCCACGGTGAGTGATGTACATATTGTTCTTTACTCACCATTTAACACCTTCCGTCGACCCTCCGGAGGGACCCCGTTGTCCTCGCCGCGACCGTCGTGCGACCAGTTCCCCTACGGCTTCGCGTCTCCCGTGGATGCATGCGCGCGGGGGCTCCGAAGGATGCTGACGCCGCCCACTCTCACGTCCGAGTTCGTGGGAATGGCGGGCTACGCTCCTGCCTCCTTCCATGACCTCGTCGATGATGAGGTCGAAAGCGACGGCTCCAACATCGGCGACGTCATGGCACCTGGCCACCCTATGTCCCGAGACTTCGCTATGGCGGACGCCCCGGGACAGCCACCGGTGGTAGTGGAGTCTCTGCAGACCCACACCCCTCTGGACCCTCGTGCGAAGGCCCTGGCGCGTGCGCAGGAGCACGTCGAGGAGTTACGACAAAGGCGACAGAGCCAGCTGCCACATGCGCGTAACCCGGCGAGCGGCGTTCGGGGTCGCGCCCATCATGTCCAGCGTAACATCCTAGACGGAGGGAACGACACCCCTCAGTATGCTCGGGCTGGCCAAAACATCGTTGCTGCGGCGATGCTTCTACGTGGCCTCCCCGAGCCTACCGACCCCCAGGAGCAGGCAATCCACCAGAACCTCCGGGCGCTGGTGGAGACCGCCGCCGTTCATCAGGCGGAGAGCATCGCGTCACGACACCAGCTCGCGACCTCTTCCCCAAACAGGGAACTAGGGCCGCACCAGTCGAATCGCTCTGTTCACTCACCACTGTAGTTGCCGGGCGTGGGGCAGGAAGTCGCGGCTGCACCGCAGCCCGACCTGACGTCCGCTCCACACCGACCACCTGTGCACGAACGGCTCGGGCCGAACCGTGGCGCTCGCAGCGTCATCAACAATCGACGCCACGCCCGGCACGATGATGACGTCCATCGAGTGGCGGCGAGAGTAGGCGGCACGGGCCTCGGCCTAACCATCGAGGAGTGTGAGGACTCGCACCCTAGGCATGGTGGCCGACCAAACGACCGGAGCCCTAGCCCGGATGGCCCGGGACCACGAGCCTTTGGTCGTCGCATTCAGAAAGCGCCGTTCCCACAACGCTTCTGACCGTCCACCAACATCGCCAGGTACACCGGGGAGACGAACCCCGGTATATGGCTCGAAGGCTTTTGGCTCGCCTGTCGAGCCGGAGGAGTGGATGATGATTATTTCATCATCCAGTACATCCCCATCTGCGTGGGGGAGCATGTTTGAGCATGGCTCAAATTCATTCCGCCCAACAGCATCCTCGACTGGGTGGATCTCAAGAGGGTCTTCGTCGGAAATTTCCAGGGGACGTATGTCCGTCCTGGGAATTCTTGGGACCTCAAGAGTTGCCAGCAGGAGCCCAACGAGATTACATCCGTAGGTTCTCAAAGCAGTGCAACTCCCTTCCTGATGTTGTCGACGCAGACATCATTAGTGCATTCCTCTCTGGGACAACCTGCAAGTCCTTGATCCACAAGCTCGGCTGTTTGAAGCCCCGTACCACCCGCGACCTGCTCAACCTCGCCACGAACCACGCCTCTGGTGAGAAGGCGGTCGGGGTGGTCTTCAGCGGCGGCCGGGACAGGGGCAAGGCCAAGAGCGAGGACCAAGGCGAGGGCCCCTCCACACAAAAGGGCAAGAAGAACAAGAAGGATCGGCGCCGACCGGCCAACCC